GTGGGGAGGGGGTTTGGATGTGGGAAATCTTGATTGAACCTTGTGAACACTGAAAAACAGCAAATAAAGGGTTTTGTTCATTCATTCATTGAACTAATTTCTTCATCAGGTCCCTGTTGGGAGGTTGTTGCAACGAGAGATTTTGCTGCATAATTTTTGGCTTCTTTAACTGCAGTAATTTTTCGATGCAAATAGGCGAACCCATGGAGAATTTTATTCGGCCTTTTAGGAAGCGGATTGATCATACATTTGATTTGATTTCCAAATTTATTTTCAGACAGGGGTACGGAAGCATATTTCACAGGGAATCTGGCTAAGGACTTCAATATTACGAAGAATTCGTCGTTGAAAAGGAAAAAGAAGAAGAAAGCACAGCCCTTGTGACTCGTCCCTCCTTTAATGCGTGCATGATTTCGGGCAAAGCTTGACCAAGTTTGGGATCCGAGCACCGTCTTGAGAAAGCTATATAACTCTGTTCAATCCCAGTGCTGTACTCTTACATATCCAGAAATACCGAGTTGACACTTGACTTGACTGACCACGTGTTCTTCTGCATTTTCTTATCCGTCAAGAAAAAAAAAAAAAACTACAGACGTACAGAGAACATTTTCTGAACGCATCTCAATAAGGTGTGCCGAACACGATACTTGTGCTGATTCGTGTTCAGTCGTGAATATCACGAAGAACAGTACTGTACTGTTCTGCATGTTCGTTTTGGGTGAAAATGAAACTTTTGCTGAACGAAGTGTGATGAACTTCAGTTGGTGATTAGATTGTCCATCATTATTCAATTACTCAATAAATCCCAGAATCTTGCTGAATATATGCGTGACTCGATTAAAAACGAATTTTATCAAAGTACTGTGTATATATACCACCAAATTTTTGGACCTTGAGTGAAAATCAGGGATAAGGAATGAAGTGAGAGTGCTATATATATATTTAGTGACAATCTGGTTTTGCCATCAATAAGTTTGATTATTGTTTTTCAAAGGATATTAATGAAGCAAACCTTCAAACTCTTTAAATACATGCTTGACATCAACAGGTGCTGTAAATAAAAATGTTCAGGTCTGACCTTTGCAATGGAAAATTGGTGCAGGGTTTTTTTTTTTTAATGAAATTTCTCAGTGATGGACTGGAATGCGTTTTTCAGAGAAAATGTGTTGGAAATGTCAAGTGTGTCTTAGAATACCACTTTTCTATTGAGAAGAATTTTATAGAATCAGTCCACTTTTTATATTGACTCTCTATATACAATAAAATTCCTAATCACTACACTTTTCACAGTAAAATCCCCAGCCATCAAAATATTGTGATCAGTTACAACGTGTCTTAAATTCGACATCAAGTTTTTGTCAGTTTCACAGGGTTTTTTTTGGATCTTCTCTGGTGTAGTGTGAAATATATGAAGTAATTAAAATATTGTATCGAATACAAATTCTTCACTTTTGATTTCACGCTGATTTGCTGCTGGTGTCGCCTGCTGGAACACGTAAATGCTTTTCTCAAATGATTCCAAAATAAAATCGTGAAAAAACACTGGTGAATGTTTTCGCAGAGAAGAGTCTTCCATTTCATTTTGGAATATTCGATAATTAGACTGAGTTGCAGTACGGTCTTATCATTCATATGAATATTTATGTGGTGTCACTTGAGAACGAAAAATATCTTGGTGACCTTGTGTAATAAAATAAAACTCTGAATATGTAATACGATGCGATGAAATGGCACTCGAACTTTGTGCGAAGCTCATCGAAATAATCATGCTGAACTGAAGAATTTGATTGAAGAATTATTTATTTTTTGCGTAGGTTTCCTTTCTCGCAAAAATCGTTTCATCCATAGAGTGTAGAAAATTATTTGACTTGAAAAATGCGCCTAGTATATATATATAGGTGAATCCTTGAACTCATTTAAAAACAAGTTCAGATAAGATCAGTCTCTGGTGTGTTCTCTGTGGAATGATGCATTGAACTTACAGTTTGGACTGAAAATTATTTCTTCCGTGCGTTTTCGTTCATTTCCAAGAAATTTTTTGGTGGAGATTCGGAACTTCAGTTATTTTCCTTTATGGTTGCATCATGATTTAAATTGCATATTGATGCCTCATCAGACTCAGCCAATATGATCATGCGTGTGTGCGGTATTTTTGTTTCGGGTATGTTTTTTTCTTTCAATATATTCAATATTACTCTGATTTTTTTGTTCCCAGCGGTAATAACGAGTGTGACAGTGGACTTCAAGTAGTACAGTATAGATTATTAATCAGTAATTTATTTTAAACAGTTTCATCAGCTTCATGGAAAAAATGTTCTCAGATGATATTTCAGTCAATGATCTTTCGAGTGGTTGCAAGGTTATTTTCATTGAACAAATGAGCGGTATATTCAGATCTTATGATAATATTCGTGAATTTTAGCCATTTTTGTCGTTTGCTAGGAAATTAGCAGAATTAGTATACTGAAGTATTCTTGTTTCTGGCACAACTTTCCAGTCCAAAGTTCCACTTATTTTTTATGGACGGAATACTTCAACTTTTACTTTTAATTTTCTGCCTTTAGTGATTTATTAAAAGGGAAGAACATCAATAACATCTTTAATATCTTATACATGTACAAGTTATGTTTCTGATTATGGCCCAGCTTTCCAGTCAAAACGTCAACGCATCTTTCAAGAACAAAATACGCCCAATTTTATTTCGAATTCGTTTTTTTTAGTGATTGATTAAACTGAAAAACATCAATAGCATCATAGGCATGTAATGCAGTTTCAGATTATTCCCCAAAACTTTCTAGTAGAAATTTCAACGAACCTCCAGACCTCCTCAAAAGACAAGAATAAATTCACTTTAATTATTTACTTGCCATTTTAGGGATTGATTAAACTGAAAGAATCAATAGCCGAATAAAATTGTAGTTTTTTTGAAAATATATCAGCTATTTTTCTTTGTTCAAATTTCCAAATATCCTTGAAGTATGAAATATACCCATTTTTCTTTTCTATTTTAAATTATTGTTTAAACTAACTGATGTTAATATCGTCATAAATGTTGGAATACATACTACAGTATTTTCAATTTTTGAAATCATCTGTTTGAATTTGAGGAGAAGAACACAGTAATTATCTCTAAAATGTGGGAAAATAACCATAAAGCAGCATGAAAATGTATTTATAAACTTATTTTTACAGCTATAAGCTACTAGTTATTGGAGCCAGGAGAAAAGCTTCATTATTACAAGAAATTCGTTATAAAGAGATTTGAATAACATGATTTCTATTGAACATGACCTGAAAAATGACTTTGTTACTGTTTTTAACCAAATAAAAATATATTTACATATATATTGCTTATATGTCAGGCAGTTGTGGTCTGTTCAAGTTCAATCTGACGCAGGGTACGAAAGTCAAGGCCTCTGTTATGACCTCTCAGCCCACTTAAGTCATCTGAAGAGATGGGATCGAAAAGGAAACCCCGCAACCCCGCGTTCGTCTTATAAGGTTGGCAATAGCACGAGCTCAGGACTCCCGTGATGGGGAACTCGGGCCAGAGGAAGCCATATATATATATATATATATCTATATATATATATATACGAGGGTTCTAACAAAAGTTCTCGGAGTAGCAATGAAAATGGCATACAATTGAGCTGTAAAAAATTTATTCTCTAGCCAAAACATATTCTTTGGCACACACAAAGAATCAGCCCGGTTTGACAATTTTTTTAAATTTTTTTGCAAAATTCATCCATATAGAGTTTTGCTTTCCACTCAAAAAAAGTGCGCCTCATTTTTTGAGTGGAGAGCAAAACTCTATATGGATGAATTTTGCAAAAAAATTAAAAAAAAGTGTCAAACCGGGCTGATTTTTTTCTGTGCCAAAGAATATGTTTTGGCTAGAGAATAAATGTTTTACAGCTCAATTGTATGCCATTTTCATTGCTACTCCGAGAACTTTTGTTAGAACCCTAGTATAGAGGATGAGAGAGGAGGATCCGACCAAAGATCCCTGTTCTGTTTCCAGAAAACTTCTGGCCCTGGAAACGAGAAAGGAGGAGGCTCAGGAATCAATTCCCCCCTTTTCTCCTCTTCTTCCCCCTCGTATAAATATATATATATATACCGTATATACTATATGGTGCACCACACTTTTCAATGCCAGCGTATATATACACACGAGAAAACCTTCAACCCCCTTTCCTCCCCCACACATCAACGCGTGCTGCTGCTGCTGCTGCTGCCATCACAGTCAGGGACCTGCTCAGCTTCCAAGCAGACACTTTTTTTTTTCCTTGTACAGTACATTGTCTCATTACAGTGGACCCTCATCAGTAAACAAACGAAAAATTTGGTCAATGAACTTCTTTTCTGGGCAAAATTAGTCCTAAAATTCGATTTAAAGGCTGAGATTCATGGTACAATATTTCAATTTCAAATAATGCACCTATTATGCATGTACTCATTATTTGAAAATTATTTCCTCCTGATGGCATTTTAATATGTGTAATCATGTGTTTTAAAATGGTTTTGGTTGCATTATTCATATGCTATTCTGAGCTTGGTTTTGCTATTTGCTCAATTGCTGGAAAGGTCTATTTGATCTTCACTTGCAGCAGCATAAAAAAAAGGAATTTCATGTTCACCTGACATGAATCCTTCAGTGTGTGTTTCTCTGGATGTGAAGCTTTTTATCCTCATTTCTACTTCCATGTACAGTAACATTATAACAACATTCTGGAACACTTATTCTTCCACAGATTGAAATCTCTGGGAAAATAAGATTGTATTCACAATCTTTTTGTTTGGTTCCAATATTAAGTCAGTCAACCAAGCATCCACTGTACAGTATATCAAAGCAGGAAAGACACTAAACAGAAAATTAACCATCATTGTTGTTCTAGAGTATCTAGACTAATCAAAAAGTGTTCGAGTCTTTGCTGATGCACGTGTCTTCGCGTAACTCTGTCAATCACGATTTCCAACGTGTTCTTTTTCAAATCGCAGGTATTCTATTATACAGTATATTTATATAGATTTAGGTGTCAGAGGCACGCGTGCGGTGGAATAACGTCGGATGTCTGGCATGACCATGAGAAGTTTCCTTTCTTTCTTCGCCTTCGCACTTCTGCTTTTGGCTCACGGTAAGTTCGTCTCTTGCTCATCTTACTCATACGTGGAAATAGACTAATAAGGTAGACTAAAAAAGCTTAAATCAAGGTCTCGCGTATGAGAGAAGTTTGAAAGCCTCGTCGAAATTCTGCGACAAAGTTAACAAGACATTTTAAAATGCGTGCGAAGTTGTGACAAGAAAAGAAAATATTATTCGTAACATCGTGATTTTTCTCTCACAAAACATTTCCACTATTTATTGGAATATACTTTAACAAAAATTTGCGACGCTTAGAAATTTCTTCAAATCATTCGACATCGCATTCATACACATTATTAGTGCAGTTGAAGAAGATGGGTTGAGTTGAGACTCGATTTGACTCCCAGATTTTATGATTCGAATTGTTTCCATTTGGTTTTTCTCTCTTTTTCATCCAACGTAAAATAAAAGCTGGATTGTTTATTACGTCAATCGCCAATTCAATTTAACTCAATACTTTCCAGGACCACTGATCATCTTCATGTTCTCAACAGGAGATAAATGCATTAAAACCTGACTTCATATTAATTCACTAAAGAAATGAATGTCAACTTCTCACCGTAAACAGTGTTCAGTACATTTTATTGCACATGCAATGATCATCACACATATAGCACAATGATAAATGGACTATTGGTGAATTCTATGGAAATATTTCCTGAGGCTGTTGGTATCTGGGATCCTAATTTTATTTTACTAAGAGGATATTCCCTTGTGCCCTTTTACCTGTTGTAATGAAACAAGATACAATAAGAGTAAGTTGCCATAGGGGTCCTTGTAGAGTGCCCAGACAGTGGCTGGTGTGTGAGCCAGCAGCTGGGGGTTGACAGTGTCCCTGTTAAATTGGCAGAGGCAAGTATAATGAGGTCTTGCTTGAAGCCAGTGGGTGAGAGGTTGCAGCATTGGGCATTGTTTCAGAAGATGTTAATGGTGAGCAGTTTGTAGCTCATATAAATGGCCTAGGAAATGAGGCTAAGGGTCCAATTAGGACAAGCCCCCAATCTGAGTAAGTTGTTGTAGGGGTTGGACACATTAAACATACATTTTCTGGTACTTTCCTGTTATCTCAGTACCTCATTTCTAGACCACACTACCATCCAGACAAATCTTTAGGACGAGTTCATAATCACAACAACCTACCAGAAACTGTGAATTTTATTTTTCCGCATTCTGTTGAAACTGATTTAGGTTAAATTGGTCAGAGGGAAGGTACAGAGATAACAGGAAAGTACCCATTTTCCTCCTTGATCTGTCATAATGATTAGAGCACAGCATTCGTACAGTATTTAACCTTTGATCAGGTTCTACTCCAACAGGCAAAGGAGCATGAGCAAGATGTGAACAAGATACAGTAGTACTGTAATGCTAAAATGATTAAGGTTCAGTAATAAAGTAATAATAATAAATTTACATGATAATTACAAGATAATTTTGAGAAACGACATCACTATGCTGAGCAATGAAAGCAGTTAACCAAATAAAATATGCGACATCCTCTTTTTTATTTAGTGAGGGCACAACAAGAGGAGGATTATTATGACGACGATGAGCAAGAAAGTGTCGCAACAGAGGATCTTCCGCAAGACGACGTCGACGATTATCGAGTGCCAGCGCCGTCACTTCCTGACGTCTCGGATCTCAGCCGCGTTTCTCCGTTGAAACTCAACAAACGTCAGGTCGTGCAACGAAGCGAAAAGGTATTTTTGTTTACCTTTCGAATATTGGTATTTACTTATTATTGTCCCAATCCTGGGCTAAATAATTATAAGGAATAAACTATTTATTCCCATACCCTTGGAAAAAAAAAAGCCGCAAAGATGTTAAGCTCATCGTTGAAGCATATCACTTTTTGTAAATTCCTGGTCTTCATCATACTGTATTTAAACCAACCTTTCTTCTATTTCTCATCATGATTTCGGCGATAGGAATTGTTGAATGTGACCAGTCAGGATTGGATCTTAAACAATTCCTCATCATTCGAGTAATATTGTACTGCAAATTTTTACGAGGATATGCACGATTATGAAAAAGTAATGCATCCATTTTATAAGGGATGTTTGAATTTCCAGAAAAGAAAAGTCTGTAGAAACGCATCACAAAATTGTGCCGATATAAATCATTCTTGAGGCTGATATAATTTGAGCAGCATTTTGCATGAATTCCTCTTTATTCTTGTTTAAACGATTTTCAATTTTGCGAATGAATACTTATCTATAACGCGATAAATTTAATGCTGCTCTTTATTTCAATTTCATACTGTATTGTAAAAATCGAGTCTCGTGAAACTTTCGCGTAAGGGATATTCTGCATTCATCTCTGTATGTAATCTGCCAAAAGGCTCAGATTTTTATTTTCGCAAGCAGGAAATTGAATAGCGAAGTGACAACGAGAAGATCGTTTTTGTTGCAAATATTCCCAGTGTAATAAATTCAAGGAATGTACATGAAGAAAAAAAATAATGGCAGCAGGATGAAATTTCTGAGAAAAGTCTCATCAATGGGCCCTCTGATGAGCGGCAACTAAATGGTTTTGGTCCAAAATTTGAAACTGGTCCTCGTCAATCAGCAAGCGTTAACAATGAATATGTTTTATAACCTACTGTCGTACTGCAAATATTAAAAGAAAGGCGTGGTTTTCACTCATCTCGGAATAATCTTCCTTGACAACAGCAGCCGGTTGTGATCACGCCTCAAGCAGTTATAAAGAAGATCGACCACAATAAGGACGAAGATGAGGAAAGTCATTCCAACAAAGGAGACCATCAATCGCACTGGGGTTACGGCGACGCTGCAGGTACATTATATGTGAATACTTTATACGTAAAGTACATCACATGCTGGATTTGCATGACGAGCAGACAGTCATGACAAGGATCAGATAACGTACTCCCTTGTACTCGATTTGTACTCATTTTGGAATATTCATTAGAAATTATTAAATGAAATATGAATATTCGAAATAAGAAACATAAGCATCAAGGGATTAAAGGGTGTTGAACATTATTTGATCCAGCATAAATTATTTGATACCATTCGAGAATGGGTATAATTCCAGATTTGTTCGTAACGTGAGGCCATACGCTGAAAAGTTCCGAAGAATACTTCGTCGTGTCGAGAGCGTTTTTCTCCAAAAAAAAATGATGGTTTAGTTCCAATCAAGCCTTGTGCATACAGGTATCAGTCACGTGACCAATATTAATATAAAATTGAATGAAATGGGAATTCAATGTCCCTGCTACAAGTGCAGTATATATTTGAATGACGCACCAGCAGTAAATTAAATTATAATTCAAGTTTCTGAAATTTACGCTCAACTATAGTCGCTTTTTATAAAATCGTAGCAGCACGTGCCAGTTTGATGCGAAAAAAATCTTGAATTCATCATACATATATTTATTTGCGTTTCGAATTGTGAACTGTTCTGACAAATTGTTTTTTCGATCATTACACAGCATTTGAAGAGTGGGCTGCCATGTTCGGAACGTGCGGTGGACCTCGACAATCCCCAATCGACATCGACACGGGTCACGTGTCATTCACCAACTATGACAACTGGAGATTCCAGGGTTATGAACAGGAACCCGACCTTGCAATAATCTCCAATAACGGGCACTCGGGTGAGTTAAATTCAGACCTTGACAAACGCGTGAAACTGGGGTCTCTGAAAATGTTTGCGAAATTCCATCGCAGGCACAACACACATGCTAGCAATTTAAATATTTCTTCAAAAATATATATACAATATTTTAAGTTTATGATTATACTTGTCGAAGCAACCTTTTAAGGAAACACAGCATGCGAATGCTCGAACGCTTTTCTGCTCATTTTAGATTAATGTATTGTACAGGTTTATTCTTGTCACAACAAACTTCTACAAGGACAACAAAAAAAGTTCGTCAGAAATGAGCAATGAGCTTCTTACAAAAAAATGCAGCAATTTTTATTGAAACAATCGACACCATTTCTTTCAAACCCTGAGTTTTTATGGACATACTGTACTGAAACGAAACAAAAAAAGTTTCCAGCAGAATTCCTTTTTTACAGCATTCAGAAGAATCCATATAAGAAAAAAAGTTTTTACAGGAAAAAATGAATTTGTGTATTCCCTATTGTAGCAACTTTGCATACGGAAAATGTGGAAAAATTCGTGAGAAATTAATTCCTTGAAAAAAATTTTTGAACCTTGTGAACGCTGACAAGTGGCAAATAAAGCTTGTACTGTATATTAATCGATCAATCAAGTAATTTACTCCACTAAATAAATAAATTTTATTATAATGATAACTATAAATTATAGTGATCGTTTATAGTACAATACTGTATTTTTAAATACATTTAAATTTGCCTGTGTAATTATTTTGCTTGGCCTTCAATAAATTTCGTTCCATTGAAAAATCTCCTCTTATACGTAATCTGACCTGTATATATAATTCAGCATATACGAGAACTGTGCAGCATATATATAACTTGCGCAAAAAATTATTTTTGTCTGTCATCCAACAAATGAGTTTCAAAACATATATACTGTATAGCAGAAATACCTCTGCACCAAACAATCCCCCACCCTGAGGCAGACCTGAAAGGCTGAAGGAAGAAACCCAAGATCGGGAAAAACTTGGCAGCCTTCTCTGATGCCCGAAAAGAGAGGGTCATTAATAAGGGGATGCGCGATCTTGTCTTTTATAGATTTCTCTCATTTTCGGAACTCGACGTGGTGCTATAAAAAATAGCAGGATACGAAATTACCAACAGTGACGAAAAAAAAACACTAGCCGTATTTTTTATTTTAATAAATAACGACATTTCTAGCGAAATTGGCACCTTTGAGTTTTTTAGAAGAGCCAAAAAATTACAAATTTGCGTAAATTGCCTTCTTGTTTTTAGAACGGATTTTCAATTTCATGTTGGGATTCATGATTTTTTAGCCTGGGAAAAGCGAGACATTGAGTTAAATCTTGAAGATACCGGTAATTGATCATTTCCGATGAAAATGATAAGCACATGAAAGGTGTTGACATTTTCTAAAATGCTCGAAACTCAATTTATAGCATCTTAGAGAGGGCCTAATGACGAGTCCACACACAAAAAATTGTTGCTCAGAAGACACAAATATAGTGAGACCCCTAGATGCAGACGTAATTGGTGCATCAAGAGTGTCCCTAAGTCAAGTCTCATTTTCCCTTAAACTCACATAACAAAAATTTTAATTGGTATTCTATGTACAAAATACTCACCATAATGCCATGAAAATAAAAATTTTCACCCAATTTAAACTGATTCAATCACTATATTTCAACACATTATAGACATTTGGGGAATTGAATACTGATACCTCTGCTGTACAGTTCATAGAAATGTTGGCATTCTCTGTAAAAAATAACATTCAAGTGAAAAAGAGAGAAGGAAGTTGCTCTATCCTGGAGGTAACTTCTTTAAATCAGCTAAGTGGATGGAAAATTTGTGAGAGAAATGCCCAATAACTTTTCTTACATCAATTTTAGGGTTGGAAATATCTGTTTCATGTAATTTGGCCAGCAACTTATCTGCAATTTTATAATAAAATCTCCCTATGTTGAGTGTGTCCTCATGTTGGGCCTTTTTATGGGAAAATAAGTGTCCCTATTTCAAATTGTCAGCAGGTCAAGGTGTCCGCATGATGTGGGGGGTCTCACTGGAGTTCAAGGGTCCAGAAAAATAACAGATGTACAGATAATTTTGTTGCAGAGAACCCCTGTAACTTGAGGAATGAACCCTCTACCAGACCAAAAAAGTATTCCTTATACAGTACAGAGAACATCATTTCAGGCCAGATCATTGCAGACGAGAAAGTCCACCTGCATTTGGTAGTGCGTGTAAAAATCACGAGTAATACACCACAATATCTGGAATATCTTGTCGGTCGCTGGAATGCAAGTGTAAATAATTTTGTTTCACCGTTTTTTTATATTTATTTTCATTTCTCGCACCAAAAAAAAACAAAAAAAAAAAAAAAAAAAAAAACCCCAAAAAAAAAAAAAAAAAAAAAAAAAAAAAAAAAAAAAAACCAGTTCAAGTAGAATTGCTGATGGATGAGCCGGCAATAGTGTCCGGAGGCGGCCTTCGCGGGTCGTACCGCTTCGCCCAGCTCCACTTCCACTGGGGCGCCCGTTCCATCCACGGCTCGGAACACACGGTCAACGAACGCCGCTTCCCGTTGGAGCTGCACCTCGTGCACTTCTCCACGGCCTACCCGAACGTGTCGGCCGCCGTGGCGTCCGGCCGCGGGGACGCCCTCGCTGTCCTGGGATTCCTCTACGAGATCAGCACTCGGGATCCCCCGGGGGGCCTGGGAGCAGTGGTGGCTGCCCTGCCACGTGTCACGAGCAGCGCTTCGACGGCGCAGCTGCCGCAGCCGACGGCGCCGAGTCTGGCGAGTCTCGTGCAGGGCCTGGACCTGGCCCGGTTTTTCCGCTACGACGGCTCGCTCACGACGCCGCCGTGCTCGGAAGTTGTGGTTTGGACGGTGTTTGAAGATAAGCTCGGCATCTCAGAGGCACAGGTACCATATATTTATACAGTGGAATTTCGTTACAACGAATCTAATTTTAGCCAATACAGTAACTTTTTATAAAAAAAAAGGTCCCTTCTTTTGGTCCCTGTTCAATGTGGGCAGTATGTTGAATGAGTTACTGTATATACTGTATAGCGATTTTTTTTTTTACAAAGAAGCTATTTCACTGGCCGTATCACTGGATTATTTGTTGTAAAAAAAAAAGCATTGTACATCATGTCCACATATTCAGCAGTTTTCCAGTGAGCAAAAAGTTGTCTGCATTTAGTCCGAAGTCTCAGATTCAAATTCCCCAAAATTTGCCTGGTTTTTATCCAAATGTTCATCCAAAAGAAACTGTCTCGAAAGATGTCCAGTTTTGACTAGAATTTGATATCAATTCATTCAGATGAATTCTGGATAAAAACAAGGCAACTTCTGGAAATTATGGAGAATATTGGGGCACAATATCTAACTCCTGTCCAAATTGTGTGAAATTTCATGCTAAACTAATCAAATTTTAGCCCAAAATTGGTCCCATTTCCTTCCAAAAGTTGTCTGTTTTTTATTTGAATGCTATATCCAGAAGAATAAGGTGCATGAAAGATGTCCATATACTTGAAAGAATCCGAGATGCAATAATTTCAAATGACTCTTGGAGGAAAAGCAGAAAACTTTCTGGAAAGGGGAAAAAAGGTTGGGAAAACTAGTAAATTTTCAGCTTGAAATTTGACAATGTTCGCGAAAAATTTGAACAACCAAGCACGGCAGAAGAATATTTCCACCTTCCGTGATTTCAAATTCTTCAGGAAATGAATTCAAACTTATGCAAGATCTAAGTTAAAATAAAAATTGGTGGACATGCTTGGAGAACTTCTTGGTCCATCATCACCAATACATTTCCCTTGGACAGTTGGACAAGTTCTCCAAGCAGGCCCACAGCATACATCTTATGTGGCAGACATGTTTGAATGACTTATCCAAGCAAATATATTTGGCAGAAATTCTTGTCCACTGGCTTACATGTCTGTGGGTACTATTTTAAAGCACAGTTTATCCTTGGTAACTCAAATCTCCCTAAGTCAAATATTTCCCTATACATTTTTTTAATTCCTGTACAAATTCTTTCAGGAACAGTGCATTAATGAACCTGCCAAACTCCTCAGAGACTTTTCTCCTGAAACATCCATAACTCATATTTTCTCAAGACATTTCGGTTACTATTTGATTGAAACTGAATACAGAAAAGCAATAAAATGTAACTTAATGCATTTTTAAAGAAAAGAAATAATAACTGAGCAAATAAATGAACCCTTGTCTCAAAATTCAGAATCCTCAAGGCCCAGCATATCACCAATTACACTTACTTGAAATTATTGTTGCTTCCACCAATCAAAACTGTTTTTTCTCACAAATTCAAAACCCCCCAAACTCGAATTTTTTTCTGGCCCCTTAAATTGAAGTTTGACTGTATTTTTAAAGTATATTTTTCATTTATTAATTTCCGCAGCTCCAAGCCTTCCGTCGTGTGACTTCGGACGATGGTCATTCGCCTTTGGTCGACAACTATCGCCCTGTTCAAAAGCAGCCTCGTCAGGTCTCCTACAACAATGCAAGACAATCATTTGTGCTCAATCCATCTTTTGCTTCTTTGTATTCCTTTGGGAGAAAAACTGCATCCTCTTCTTCTCCCGCAAATGCTGGCTCTCCCATCTCTGCCGCTTTATTCGCGGTGCTGATCTTCGCCATCAAATTCGCCACCGAATACTGATCGTCGGTCATCCGGATGACGACGTTTATTTATGAAAGCTGCTTGTTATCGCTCTTTTCATCGGCAATTTTGTCGACTGATGACATCAGGAGGATATGATGAGAGTCTCGATCGGAAGGTGCATGCGAGCCTTAGAGAGGAGTAATAGCTATGGAAAAAGAAAATAGTTCCATCGATATTTGCTATAGAGTTTTATTGGACTATATAGTGATGGATGAGGAAACAGCTAGTCCTAGCACTTCCGTGTTCCTCAAAATTGTTGTGACCCGTCGCTTTTTTTTTTTTTTACATTCGAATTCGTTTCGAATTGAAAGGTGCTTCGCCGTCAGCCAGAGAATTCCGAGCAATATTGTGACGCTATGTTCAATCACGTCAGTGTGCAATTATATAAGCAATCAGTCACGGTGGCATTCTCGTTAGAGTGAGGTTTTCTTTTAGGGAATATGATGGAGTGACAAATGTATTCAGTATTTCTCAGGAAATGTACTTCAATCATTTATTTTTCTTGAGACACTTCTTGAGTTGAAGGAGAACGTGTGAAGTGGGCTTGCTGAATGCGATGGAGTCCTTATTCATACATAGCCATCCTGTACGAGAAGTTGTTTCACCTCTGTATAATGCGAGGGGACTTTGCTGGCTATAAATATTTAAAAATAATTAAAATCTTTGCAGCAAGTTTAATTTTGAATTGCTGGAAAGGAGGTCTTTTCGACACGTCCACTATAGTGACATATGCGATGACTACTCCGATATGTATATACAGGACTCTTTGATATGGAATTCACGACCTGGGTCAGCTAGCACTAAATATATAATGTACAATGCTGTATATATTGTATAAGTACAAAGTAATAACATCAGCATCACATGCAGTACTAGAATTCTTCATATGATATGCACGTATGTACTGTATACCTGTAAATACCTGTAAAATGAATTTACTGAGTTAATTCAGCAATTGGGCAATTAATCCGCAATTTACTTGCACCGGAGAAAAAGAGATCGTTCCTCGAAATTGTAAAAAATACGTCCTCGTGCATCAGCAGTCGATAGTTGCTAGCTCCGTAGTGCGCAAAGAATACGGCAACCGTTCGGTATTTTGACACAAAAGGCCACAAAACGTGCAGCAAATAATGTTGTTTTCAACAGACGAATTACAGCGGCACCTCCTCGATAGCGAATGTCATCTTGCCTGTACTTTACTCGTATATTCCATGCTTTGCTAGGTACGCATATACGGTAGTTTGCAAGAGGTGACTCGAAGGTATGTACAGTATTATTTTGTACGTACCTCGTGAAAAGTTACTATTCAAAGGAATGCAAACACAATAATTAATTCACCACTTCTTCATGATAGATGTCACTCGTGCAGTCGCGCTTCGAGTACGTCGTACATTCTATATGGATTACTGCATTTGAAAAAGAGATTTCTAATAAGGGTGATTTAATCACAGGAAGAGTATTAGAATGATTTTCAAAGAAAAGTTTTCAACATTTTGTTCCTTTTTTCGATATTCAGGCAATTGAAGCAATTCACTGGCCAGCAATATATTCCATTTGTGTTACAAAATGCATAATTGTACTGTAAATTAATAAATTTTTTATAAATGCTCAAGGGAAACATATGCGACTCTATTAGGACTCACCCAACATATACAGTAGCTCCATTTTTTCCAACAAATACTTCTGTGAATTTGTGTTTGTTAGGCAGCAACGCACCTTTATATACATTGCCGTAAGTGCCCATATACAGTATAATCCATCATTGCATTATTTACATAATAGGTATGCTGTATGGTTTTGCGATTTGACTCACAAGTTCCATGCTGTTCATCAATATACAGTATAGTTGCATGGTCACTAAAACAAAAAGTCTGTATATGAGGCCTTTTAGATTTACGCGTGACACTCTAAAATTTGCTTTATGGTGGTTCTTTTTGCATTGCACTGAGATAGGAACATTGAAAAATATATATTTTGAAAATAATCTATGAACTATTTTTGCAAAATCATTCAGCCATCATCTTCAGCCTCATAAAAGGAAAAAAACTCCATTAAAGGCGATTCTCAGATAAAGCCATCATGTATGGAAGTACATTTGTACATCCAATTCGAAATGTATGATAAATAATACTCTACTTGCCTTTATATACAAGGAATACTGTACAGTACATTCATCTTGCACACATTTTCTTTTGATGTTTGACTGGCAGCGTAAAAAAAAATCAATTCCCAAGTGTCAGCAAAACTGAGCATTTTGGGGGGGGGGAGGGGGGGGGGGGGGGGGGGGGGGTTATTGGGCTATGCCAAAACAGTTATACAAAAGGTGCTATTTTTGACGCATTCAGAGCTGCTGGTAGGCTATTCAATGTCTTCTTTGCTTCACTATCCTTGTGTGTTAGGGGGCATTTGACAGAGGAGATGTAGGCAGAGTGCCACATTTGTCTTGCCCATTGGCACTCTTAGTGATTTTCTGGGATTTGAAAATTAGGACATTTCACCAAAACGATTATTCAAATATGAAAACTAATCATGTTTACTCTTCTAGCAGTTCACTGATGTCGTATGAGTAGACCTTCATTCAAAAATCAATCTCAACGTAGAAAAAATTGAGCATACTACTGTATAGTCAAATACAACCAAATACGTTGAACACAATTTTCCAAAATTGCACACTGTCTGGAGGTTTCATGAACTGAACGTATATAGATTAGTTAAATGCATCCAGCATGCATAAGAATTGGGAAAGTAAAAAAGTTTACATATCTCAAGTGGAATTTAAATTTACCTTATTCACACTATTATTCATACGCTATAATGGTGGATAATAAAGAATCGTATTGCTGTACTCTGAACTTCTGAAGTGAAATCATCTGAAAGTTGTTTGCTAAAATCTGTTTTCAGAAGTACTGTAATACTAAACAATGAGTCCCGGAATTTCAGTGAAAAATGCTTTACATGTCTTGAAGTGACAGGGTATGGGAACAATCTGAACCTTTACCACTTAAATATGACAATTTAAAAAATGAATCTGACGTTTAATATCTAAAATAGCGCAGGTAGATAACATCGAAGGTTAGTAAAAACCCCTACGGAGCATAATCTTCTGTCAGGTTTTTTTCATGGAATGGACATAGCAGTGATCAAATCAAAGCAATTGTGGTACAGTTAATAAATTTCAATGTATGACTTATATTGGGATATGTTATTTCATGCAGCAAAAAACTCAGAAAGGAAATATGCAATTGATTTGCCCAGAATTTTCAAGGAAAATCTTGATTCCAACTTAGATGTATGGATGATTTGACATCCTTGCTCAAAATACAAGTGTGTGGTGGCTGCTGGTTGGGGAGCCGCTTCTGGGTCACACGCAGGAACTCTCCGTACATTGAGCAGGACTGCTTTGTGAAGTATCATGCATCACACCATAGTACATGCAGCAACCATCAGATGAGGGTGGAACAAGTACTTTTGAAGGAAGGGTGATATACTGTATCACTTCCGAAGTTCCAACATACAGAAAACTTGAACGTGGTGAGACTTACACAGGGCATGGTTTTATAAAATACAGTATTGTCTCATTTCCTACATGAGGGCACATGTTATTCTTCAGTAATTACAGTACCCTGGTGTCTCTGGTTTATGGCTGATTTGACAAGGATTCAAAAATTTTGCTAAGGCTCACATAATTCATAATGTTCAGGATGTGAATTGTTTATTCATAAGGCACAAAAATGTCCTTGAATAGCTTTGGTTAGCTACTATGCATTCTATGTTTGGAGGTTTTAAATCCCTGTGAAGTTAGAGGTCACTTCTGCCCAAAAAATTTGACTTTCCCTGAAAAATTGGATATAATGCAGAACTGAAGCTGGAAAGACTTTAAATGAAAAGTCAATTGTACAAATAAGTTCCTCCAAACTTTGATCAATTGTTCGCATAATGCACATTCAGTGAATACGCATTAAGCAGCCAGAACTGAAATTTTACATCACTTAGTTTACTCAATGAAGAATCAGTTCAGACGAGTTGTTCAAGAACATTGATCAGATTCAACGTTGTTCCAAAGTTTTCGATTTGGTGAATTTGTCACCTCTAACGAGTACAGGCTACTCTTATTTTTAGAGGATCTCTTCAATACTGTACACTGTGTACAGTACAATACAGTATCTCTTTCTGCCTACTACTGAGAAGGATTTTGCGTCCTGACTTGAATGCGGTTACTACATGAATGAGTGCCCAGTTGCTGCAAAGTTTGCGGAATGGCTCCATGGTCTATGCTATGCATTGCTTGTAAAATTCTTGAGTGCGAACTGCAAAGGGATCCAATGGAAAGACTCCACACCGCCTTGAACCTCTGCAATTTACCACACAATGCCGTTGTTTGTTCAACTGAAAAAATTCATTCACAGTACAGTATATGTATGCCATACACTTTTCGATGGAAACCACAGCTTCCTGTAATAGTTTTGGCTTGATAAGCATTCAGACTACATTGGGGCCAAAAATTTAGATTAATTTATGTAATGAGGGAACTGTGCTCATAAAAACAATCCAGGTGAAGAAAAATACAAAATTGTTACCTCTTCATGCCAAAGTTCAAGGTACCAGCAAACAAAATTCTACCCAGGGACATTTTGAGAAAGAAAAACAAGCATTTTTGTTGAGGGAAAGAAAGGATCGCAGGAAATTGTAATTGTTGATATTTTGAGCCTCGAATTTCTTTTTATATGAGTTGACAGGATGTTGAACTGTGAAGAAAAGATTTATTTGCCCAAAAAATGTTTCACTTCCTTTTCAAGCACATTTAGTTAAATTTTGAATTTGATCGCATCTATCTTTTCTGTAACAAAATATTCGGCATACCAAGGTATCCGACGTCTGAAGGTTTGATTTATCGAGTTTCAACTTTCAATAGCTTATAGGGATTTTTTCCTTGAAAAAGTTTAGTAGGTTGCGTATTCATGATGTTACCAAACGTCGTCACAAATCAATTTAGATCCATTTTCCACGCCGTGACATGGTTATCAACTTCCCCATGCGGACGAAGAAAAGACAATAATTATTTACACGTATGTGAATTTATTTTAATGGGCATTGCGGTGCACAAGGGGTTGGAACATACTCAAACACAGGAAACACAATCAAATCAATCTTGCGGTCGCTTCTCGGAATATTTTCGAGTAAAATCCTCAGCGTTCTTCATGAACTTGGCCTTATCCCGCGCATATTCCTCCGCAACATCAGCCCTTAGTGGGTGCTCAGGCTCCGGGTCGTTCACCAAGGCAATTAGAGCTTGCAGCACCTGGTCAGTTTTTGTGGCTGGCTTCCAATTCTCGGCCGCAATAATGGGCAGACACACCTACCATTACAGAAAACAAATTGAATATTTAAAAAATCAAAACAAGGGCACGAATTGGCATGAAGCACGTATGAAGGATTCCAATAATGAACGTTTTTACAGCATGGACCAGCACTAATGGAATAATTTAATGATAATTATCAACTTTCTTCCTCGCCTCCTTGTGTCGTCTATTAATGGAAGGCTTTTCAACCAGTGGTACGCGAGTGCTTGCAAGGTGGCACACACTTTTTCTTAAAAAAATAATAAGTAAAAATAGTTCGGGCCTTGAAGTATTTTTTGTAAGTTAGGAAAGAAAAAAGGAACAATTCTAGCGATGAAAAACTTTTCCGCATCCTACAATTAAAAAATTGTAGAATGAGGCACACTAGTGTAAACCATGTAGGACTTAATTTCTAAGACTTAACCATCCTAGAAAAATGAGATATGGTAGAATGTAGATAATTTCTTCACAACGAACTTCTTGCTGGAACGAAGCCATTTCACTGGTCCTATTGGTTTTGTCGTAACGAGGTTTTACTGTTAAGGAACCTGTTCAGAACTTTCCAATGCACCACTAAAGAGGGTTAACCATTGAATTATGCCAAGAACGATGATCACAGATCAGAGTATCACGGCCTGGTACATTACATATGCATACATCCTGGCGGATCTGACACATCCAGAGAAACATTCAAGGTTGGAGTACTACCGAAGCCAGGTAAAAGACATAAAAAATAAGCGGAATAATTCGGATTATCAGAATTCAGACGAGTGGTAATACATCTGAAAAGTTTCATCATACAATGTCGCCGAAGCCGAAATGCTCTTGTACACATTAACGCATTGATCGAGTGACTTTCTTCAATCCCAGAAAACATATTAATCAATCAATATTATATTGATTCATTTACTTGAACCGATCGATGAGTTCAAATCACAAACCTGTCCCTTTTCATCAATATTGGGATGGTAAATCCGAGTCTTGAATGTTACTCTTGGCGGCTTGAATGGATACTCTGCAGGGAAAATCAACTCGACTCGGAAAGCACCCTTGTTGTACGGCGCATTGCTTGGTACGATCAACCCCTGCCATGTGAGAATGTTGCTGTCATCCACTTTCAGATCACGGAACGACCTCACACCATTGTTTCGTATCTCTTGCAATTCTTTCTGCAACCTCCTCGTCGCCGCCATATCTTCAATCAAGTTATCTGGGGTAAGTGAATAATAAAATCCGAACGGTACAGCAATCGTAGGTTCATTGGTATCTGCACTCACGACAAGCATCATTCAACGAATAGAACACAGTGATATGACGATCAAGAAATGAAGATATTGGGTGAGATACAGAATCATGACCAGCTTCAACCTTCAAAAGTTCTACATCAACTTTCAAGAGATCTTCAGCTCTCTATCACAACATTCAAAACTGCATCATATAATACAAAAAATTTAAAAATCACCTCCACAAAACAGAAGGCATGCAACAAAATGTTTCATGAGCAGAATACAGCTACCCGTTTTCTCGGCTCTAAAAAATGATCTTACATCCTGCCTAAATATACCCTTAAAAGCCGTTGAGTGGCTGCTATATACGGTACTACACTTCATACTTCTATACCACTGTATGTATGAGTGTAGGAGGAACATGACGGTAAATGTCCACCTCTCGTACTTCAGTGCCAGATAATGCCCCCAGGTTTCCGGCTTGGAGGATAAACCCAATATTTCTCAAGTTTCACCTGGCTGCAAACTGAGCACTGATTAGCTGGCTACCGGTTGACTATGTTTCCAAATCAAAATTATCTGCAGTTCCTAGCAACACGTTGGCAAAACGCGCGAATTCCAGTGAAATTCCACTTTTTCGTCATGCACTCAGTGCATAACTTAATTCCTTCCATTTGAACATTTAAATCTTTTGAGGCCTGTTTATTTCATTTGTGAATGGTTGCATAAAAGCAGGGGTTGGCACTAGGCACATACTGTACTTCTACGCGGGTATACATGGAGAAAGGAAAATTCCATGGCAAGTGAGGAATTTCAACTTGGATCATCGTTAAAATTTAATCTGTCGACCAGAATAAGGATTATGTACATACGTGCAGCTAGACGATTCGATGCACTGACCAGAATTCACAACGTCAGTACGTTCGGAACACCGCTCGGCCTTACAAATAAAGCACGATCATCATATACTTGAAAATCACCTGGAAAAGTGAAGTCCAATGAAGCATGGTAAGGTACAATCAACACGAATCAAGATTTTAGAAGATAGAAAATCGCCACATTTCGCTTTGGCCGACAGTCTTGGAGCAGTGGGTAGCGAACAAGGAAGTCATAACTGTAACGTTTAATAGTGGGTGGAAAGCATCATCAAAACATAACCACGGTAAGTGGATGACCTTGCATACCTCTCCGTCGTAAGAATCGTGCATTCATCTCTGTGCAGTAAAACAGAGCATGCCGGACTTCAACAAGAATTAGTGACCCAAAGGACATCGATAAGGTGCTACTCCCACACTATACAAACACATACAATTCAGTCTTAAATCATCCAGAACGACGAACTGAATCACCACCTGGAGAGTGACTCAGGAGCTTCACTTCATTTTCACAACTGCTCGAAGAACTATGCCTTTTGACAATCCCTTCACTATGTCAACAGGACGCACAAGCATCTCATCATTGCTATCTGAAAATACTTCATCCCTCAAGACAACGCCTTATATCGCGGATTCCACAATCCAACTGCTTTCAGCTACGGCGGAGGAAGCCAACGGATCGTGCCACCCGCGAATCAATTTCCCCGTACGCAATCCTTGTCGTGTTGCCCCTCCCTTGTCCAACCTCTCTTCACATTCATAACAAAACCAGAAACTCAACTCTTCGGCCTACAACTCTTAAGTTTAATTTAACCTGTGGCAACATGTATACGCGGTATCTTGCCAGACGAAGAATATACTTTCCGCTGATCACAAATCCGCTATTTTTCGGGAGGCGGAAAAGAATTTACCTGTGCCGAACAACTGCAAATAAGTTTTTCTTACATGTTTGGAGGAACACAAGATGTTTCCGACTTCCCACCCGACGTAACACTTCCACACACAGGCGCCCTGAATTGCGGATCAATTGCATTATTAGTTCGCGTAGTACACTAAAGGGTTGAGTAAGACGAGCAAAGCTTTACCTCAGATGCGCGCACAGTATTCACTCATCTTTAAAATTGCTTATAATTTTAAAATATCACATTTTAGAACCAGGAGTACATTGAACGTAATATGAAGTCTTATCATAATTTCCTTGAACATACAACTGTCCACTCAATAACAGCTATACTCGCGTTACCACACGTTCAATCTAGACGGGAGTGCACAATGTCCTGGATTTCAGTTTCGAACACCCAGCTTTTGCAGAGCCCTCTACCGGTTGGAGGGTCCTGGTTAGAGAGTCCTGTGATCGCGACTCCCGACTCTTCACGCATTTACAGATTTCATCACAACTGCCTAGCTGAAATCGACGTATTTAATCAATGTTCTTCAACCTGTGCCTCTTGATACTAATGCAAATTTTTAAATTTGAAAAACATTCAAAATTCCAAAAAATAATGTTTAAAATGTATCTACCAGCGTACATTTGACTGCAGTGTAGCATTGCTTTAGATGTCCATCCAGTTTTCATTCAGAAATCGAATTACTGTTTGTTCTTGAACACCGAAGGTGATGGGAGGATATGTGGCATCAGAAGGCATCACATAGCCATTCAAGATTGAGAGTGAAAAACATTCTTCAAAAGGATCATGTAATGAATAACAAGGAGAAGCAAGGAAAAAATTTGTCTGAAGTGTCTAAACCCAAACACTATAAATTATTTACTGTATGTGACAAGTACTGTATATACAATAGCTAAGCTAGTGGGTCATCCCGCATTGCATTGCTGGGAGGCTGAATTTCGTTTCAAATGCATGTGAAATTTCGTGTGATTTCAAAGCTTCAGCTTTCCATTTTTTTTTCTGTCTGGAAGTGTTCCAAGAAGTGGAACCAAAAAGTAATTGAGGCGCCACACTCTCACACCCACATCGGGCATGGGAGCCTCTGAATGAGCTAGTTGCGCTCCAAAGGGTGGTGGGGAAGAGGAAGCATCGAGAAAACGGCGACTGAATAATACAGCGCCTCAACGCCCCTCTTTTCCATGCTGCCCCTCTAGAGGGCTGTTTTCTTCTACTCTGTCCCTGAATGCCAGAAATGAGTGACTTCATGAAATGCGCATGCTTGCAGATAGGAATTACATGTTGAAGAATGGTGTAGGAAGATAACATAATATTCAATACATGAACTTGCAGCATTATTTTTTATTCTTGTTATTTCATGAGTAGTATTAGGTTGTGACCAAAAATGGTTAACACATTCAAAGGTATTCCATCACTACCACTGATTTGTGCCCTCACACTGCTACATAATGTGAGATTTGGAAATTGGTGTGTTCCCTGCTGCTTAAGACACTGATAGAGGTGATATTCAAAATTTGTTCTTATGCTCTGTATCATGTCATTTGTAGCAAGAAATCTTATTGGATATTCAGAGAAGAAAAACGTTCCTTGAAATTTTTCTTCACATAATTTGCACAATGTTAGTTGGATATTCAAAATTTTTAATTTATTTTGACATTTTTTATATATTCACACTGTTATTTGTTCATCAGAGTTTCCATGGATAATATATTTTATTTATTTAAAAAAGGTGTTTTTATATGTGCACTGTTATTTGTGCGTGGGAGTCTCCATCATATACTTTTTGTGGTTGAAGTCACTCAATGAGAGGCTGGCGCTCCTAGGGGTGGCGTGGAGGAGGTAGCGTTGGATGGAGGGGCGTTGAGTGGAAGTTGTACCATAACGTTGCGTCACGCTGAAGAGGAGTGAGAATGAGGTGGAAACCCAATGGCCAAGGAAGGATTGGAGCAATTGTGGTTAGCCCATTTAGCTGTTTACGACGTGTTGGTGAAACCAGCGTGCTACGTTTGTCCATAATGGTTGACGTTGATCGACGCGAAAGCGTATAAGTTCTATGTGCAGAATTCAATATTTACCGTGAAAAGGTAAATCAAGTAAGCGCTCAAGAAATGGATTCCAGATGAAAAACATCTACCAATGCATAGAAGTAGTAAATGAAATTTTGTAAGCTATCGTAGGGTCCTTGTGCGTGCTTCGGACCTTCACTGATCTTGTGTAACGGAGTATCACGAAAGCTCCAGTTTGCGTGTGATTTTATGAGTCCAAAATCTGTGGGATTGAGTCTTGTTCGTTTGATTTTAGAAGGTGGAATTCCAAATTTACAGTCTTGGTGGATCGTAACGATTTTCAAAATGTCGGGCGGTCCGTACCATTATTCATATATTTTCAAATATATCATAATCGGTGACATGGGCGTCGGTAAATCGTGCTTGCTTCATCAGTTCACCGAAAAAAAGTGTACGTTTGGAGTAAATATTTTCTTTTCTCCACCTAACATTCTATTTCCATGTCTATCAAAGTTATGGCGGATTCCCCTCACACCATCGGCGTGGAATTTGGCACGAGAATCATCGAGGTAGCCGGGCAAAAAATCAAGCTGCAAATCTGGGACACCGCTGGGCAGGAGAGGTTTCGCGCCGTTACAAGATCTTATTATCGTGGAGCAGCTGGAGCGTTGATGGTTTATGACATCACACGCCGTTCAACGTACAATCACCTCAGTAGCTGGTTGACCGACGCTAGAAATCTCACTAATCCGAATACGGTTTGTTTTGGAATTTAATGTCGTTAGTCTTATCATTCGATGAATTTCGGATTTCCGATTAGGTTATATTTTTGATTGGTAATAAGAGCGATCTGGAAGCCCAAAGGGATGTTACTTTCGAGGAAGCGAAGCAATTTGCGGAAGAGAATGGACTTATGTTCATCGAAGCTAGCGCGAAAACGTGAGTCGGATTTTCAATTTATGTATTGGTTATGATAACGTGTTTCGTTCATTGTTCTGATGCGTATGTTTCATTTTTAGCGGTGAAAACGTGGAAGAGGCCTTTTTCGAAACTGCGCGAAAAATCTTCCAGAACATTCAAGATGGAAGGTGTGTTGCAACGTCATTCTTGATTAACTAAATCTCCAAGTTTATTCAGGTGGACTGTTGAATCAAAGCCATTTTTGTTCACAATTTGAATTCCAGTTTGGACTTGAATGCTGCAGAGTCTGGCGTGCAACACAAGCCCGCGCAGACAGGAAAAGCAAATGTCACTAATGTTTCTGAAAGTGCTCGAGAAGCGGGGAATTGCGCGTGCTAGGTAAGTTTTATTGATGGACGCGTGTAGATTTTAATGACGAAGAGCGTGTCATACGAGTTGGTGACTCAATTCGAATCTAATTTTAACTGTTTCGGATACCCTGTGTTTTCCTACTTTTCTGATGTCTTAGCTGCGTGTAACGTTATCTGTATCGAAGGTAATAGTCTGAAATTCCAGCGTTCCTTTTTTGTTTTGTTTAAATTCTGGTATAATAATTATACCAGAATAAATAATTCTGGTAGCTGAATTCTATTGTCCATTTGTTTCTGTGCTTAAAAGATTAGTTTCCATCACAGAACTTTGCACCATTTATCATTGAAATCTTATCCCATGTCGATATTGATGGTCGACCGGGTGATTTATTTTCTCACCTGCTCACGTGCGAAGGCGTCGTTCTGGATTTAACTGAGTTCGAAGGTGAGCCCCGTATGAACTGATCATCGAAGGAGTTCCCACGTTAGGAGCAGTCAAAAACAACTTTGTAGAATGTAACGATCAACTTTTGGAGAAAAATCGCTGAACCTTGAGCATTTTTTACTTAAACTTCAGGACGAATTCTGCGTGGATGTTTTACATTCCTGATTCTGTTGCAGTCAAGCGTCGCATGGCGTGTGAAAGGGATATAAACTGTGGCTCCACCATTTTCATGAATGAAATGAGGAAGAATCGGCGAAGTTCACGTTATTCTTCCTTTTGGTATCCTCTCCAGTTCATTTCTGGCCCCGTTTCATGGAAACAAAATCTTGGATGTTTCCTTTCGTTCGTCATCAGTTGAAGTGTTTGGAGAGTTGCGTGTATTTTTGGACGAATGACGCAGGGTATGAGCGAAATTCTGCGGTTTTCCGTGAGCGTGCGTGTCAAAATATCAATATCTGTAGAAACGAGCAATTTTCTGTTCCCGGAATGGCCCTCGGTGCTAGTTGCCAACTTCTCTACTATAAGTATCTACGATTTCCTATCCGAAATGTCAATCGATTCTTTCCGTTCTATTACATCCGGGTTATCTTTAGAATGCGGAATTTTGCCGGGGATGTATTTGTGATACCGAGATTTTATTGGATTTTTTCTGGCAATCGCTCCCGGATTTCTTGCTTCAGCTTTGTGTGACAGATACCCGAGTGTCTTCGGGTTGTATTTGACGCCTTATTTATTGCACGCCGTACTCGTTCCATAACGTTTTGTCGTTGCCAAAAATATCACGTCATTCCTGCTCTTCTCTTTTTATTTTGAAAGAATAACTGCTCTTTGTTTCGATTAAAAAAAGAACCGATTTTCCCGTAATCGTGCGTAAGACGGGCGAAGGGATTTTTTGAGCGACTTCTACTGATTTTGTTGGATAGGTTGCGGATTGAAATTGATTGATTGCATCCCGTTGTGAAGTTGTTAGAGCTATGGATCATCTTAGTTTCGATTTCGTTTGTATCGCGAGCAGTAAACGAAGAATTTATCACTGTGGGATACGGTACTATTCCTTGTACTGTATTCGTACTTTCGCTTCCATATGGCGGAAGCTGGTTGTTTCCGAGTGTATTTCTGATGCCGGAATTTACACCTGCCTTGTCGACGTTCATTTCTCGTATAGATCAGTGGAGATGGAAGGGAAAATGCGTTGTGTGAATCCGAATTGTACTCGTGAGATTAAAAAGTTTCACCGAGCACGTCAAGCGTGTCGCGAGTTCTTCTTGAACGCGTGTGGTTCGGCATACGTTTGCGTTAACTGTGTGAAGTTTTACGAAGACACACGCGATGCCCTTCTCAAAGCGATGGTCAATAGACAAGATTTCGATTTTCGTTCGCTGCCGATATTCTCGAGCAAGTGGGCCAAAAATTCTGCGTCGGAGATCGTGGTTGAGGACGATGATGACGACGACGAAGCCGCTTGTTCCATAATCGAGGACAACGATGAAGAGGAAACGAATGATTCACGCGGCTCTCAACAGTGGTCGCTTTCTTGTGCCCGAGAAGTAATCGCGAATGTTTTGGAGCAAACCGTGCAACCAATGCTTGAACGATTTCTCGAGGGCGAGTTGGAAAGGCAAGCCATTCTTCAGCAGGAGGTGACACTTTTTGAAACGGCTTGCGCACAGTTAGACGAGAAACTAGAGGAGTTGCGTTCGACTATGTGTGAACTGGACGCCGAGTTCCCTCGTCAGATTGCAATACGATTGGGCGAGGTTGATGCAGACGACTCCAGCGTGCCTCTTACTCGGATGTACCCGGAAGGTCTCGAGTCGTGGGAATCCGAAGAAAACGAAGCGCTCGCGAAGAAGTACGGTGTTTCTAACCTTCTGCATCGTTCGCCTCGTGTGAGCTCAGGGAAGAAATCAATGGTTTGTATTTGATGGATTTTCATCTCTTCATGTGAATGTTCAGTAGTTGTATTTTTTATTCTTTTTTTAATAAACTGTATGATTGAGACTTGTTTTAGTAAAATAACATCAAGTGGTACGAGTGTTCCGATTTCATCGTAAATCAATTTGGAAGAGCTTTGCTTCTTTTCAGTAATCTTTGAAAAAATCGTGATGCTATTGCGCCTTCTCCGAAAATGTCAATTGTCTCTACCCATTCATAATTTCTTATAGCATCTTTTGTCACTACGCGATTGTTATCACTAGTTTTTTCCATTCTTCTAAGAGTTTGAAAAATTTTCTTCCGAACTTTCCACCAATACTTACGCTCGTCTAGAAATACTGTACATGAGGGATGAAGTAAAAAATTTAAAAATATTTTTGTCCATGTTCCAAAGGTACTACGTGACACTCGTACGCTGAAGAAGCGCTCATCAAATTACAGTATCTTGAATTCATTTGCATTCGACAGTCCCTCAACTTAAATTTAGGATCAAAAACGAAACTTGAATAAGATATTTTCATTAAGAAATGAAAGTCATGTTTGACTTTTAATCACATTGTAGGGATCTTTTGCGTTGCTGGAAAGACCAGAAGTTTATGATCGAATTTTGAAACTCTTCTTCATAGTTGTGGTGGAAATGTTAGCGTTCAAGCTTAAACGTAGCAGCTCTTGCAGTTTCAAAATCAAACCAGTATATTTCTGTCCATTCCGAATTTAACTGGTCAAGTGAGATCATAACGTATTTTGGTGAAAAATATCCTGTGCCTTGTTGGTAGGAAAGTTTATTTAAAGTATGAACAATATAGTGCCGGTTTAAATCCCGCTTTTTTGGTTGAACACGGTAGCTATTGTTAATTTTATTTTATTCTAATTTTAGCTGCGACCAGGCGGGACGAAGGCGGAAATGGATTCCGACGAGACCAATGGTAGCGAAACAACTACGACTGATGTGAGAAAAGGGACTTTCAGGGAAAAATAACTTTCGTATCAAGCTTCTGAATCCTTCGAAATTTTAGGGGGATGCTGTGACCGTTTTGCACGAAGGTGCAGCGTTGGCCGCGGCTAAAGAGGATTTACCGCCGATTGGGCAATTGAGCTATCCCGACATCATTGTTGGGACTGAGGTTCTCGTGAGTAAAGAGAGCTCGGATTGTCCGGAAGCTTCTTGGTATATTGGGAGGGTGCTTAATGCTGGTGCTGTGGAGGATAAAAACGATGCCTCAAAAACCACGAATACGGAGGTATGTTTTTGTGTGCTTTTCGAATCATGTTTTCTCTGAAAGCTGTTTTTTAACCTGACTTGATTTCGATATTTGAACGTAGTTTTCGATTTAATAGCTCCGCGGTACATTACTCTCTTTCAATAAGCGCATTCAACGTAACGTGTGCGTGTGAATTATGTCACCTCTGAACTTACACCCGCATGCTAGTTTCTTCTTGATCATTAGGATTTCGCAGATTTTCAAATACAGTATTTTTCAGTGGAAAGTTGATCGTCTCATTAAATATTCGTATGAATCGGAAGATGGAAAAAATGAAAGACTTAGAAATTTGTGTCTGGACACATTTCATTCTTTTATGAGGCGGTGATTTGGTTGACCTGCTTGGCGGCCGATGGATTTGCTAGCATGAAAAGGTACGCTAAGAAAATGATAGCGCGAGATTATATTTTAGTCTCACGAAAGCAAGAACTATTCAGCGAGTTATCTTTAGAATTGTGAATCGCTCAAGTTAACTTGGAATACAATTCATGTTCACTGTCTTATGCTATCGACACTGATCTTCACAAAAAAGGATTCAAGTTTTGAAGTATTTTACTAACGAGTTAATTTAGCTTCTGAACTTCTCACTCCTTGTGATATATTTCGTGTTTTTCAATTTGTAACGTTTCATCGAGTTTTTATTTATTTATTATGTTTAGAAAAAGATCGTTGTTCGGACTGTGGATGTCGGTGTATTGGTGATCTCAAGTCGGACTCTTTTGGCTTACCTTGATCCTGCAAATGTCCGCGTTCCATTTGGTACTCGTGTTGTTGTCTCAGATCCTGATACCGGTCATTACACCTCTGGAACTGTCACTGAGCCTCCGCTCTTGATAAATAGATTTAGGTACTCTCTTCGTGTACTCTCCGGCCGACGAAATGAGGAAAATTTTTGATCAAGAATCACTTGTCGGCAGGTACTTGGTCTTTTTGGACAATGAGAAATTTTGCTACCGTGCTCACCGAGATATCTGCGTTATTACCGATCCGTGTAGACGGGGGGCTTGGGAGTTTTGCCCCAAGCGGATCTCATCGTTGGTGAAACGATTTCTCCAGGTAATTTTCCTCATTGATCTAAATTAAAATGATGGAACCTTTTACTTTATTATGGATGAAAGGGACTTTGAGAATGTTCTAAAAAATTTGCGGATGTTTTAACATACAGTATTTGCTAAAGCATTAAATCGAAGCAATGTGTTCAGATAGCTTCGCAAAAAATCAGTGTTAGTCCTGTTCTTTCTCAATTGTTCGTATTCCTGTGTGTGAAACGATTGAACTGCGTCTGGTTGAAAGGTGCTTACTCATTGAATTAATGTTTTTCGCATTAGCTGATCCACTTCGAAATAAAATAATTGACGGGTATGTTTGGTATGACTTGAATATTTGTCCAGATTATTCATGACTTTATGTTACAGAGGTGGTCAGTCGTGTTCTACCGTTTTTTCGACTTCTTCATTCATGAAAGGTGTCTTTGAGGGGCAATATTTCTTCGTTACCCTACTACTCTTTCATTTTCCCCATTTTCGATTACTGTACTGTGGAAGTTTTCTGCTCAAAGATCTAGATGGTTTAGACTACAGAGAATTGAAAGTACAATATAAATCCTTGCTATGAAAAAGTTTTCCCCTACCACATTTGAAGATAATACCTGCCAACTGATCGAAAAAAGCTTCTGATAGATGATGCCTCAGATCTGAGAACTGAGTTTGAATGAAAATGGGCTCTGATCTTGGCGTTTCGCTGCGGTGACGCAATCTTTTCTAAAATTGCTATTTGTGAGATAGAATGTTGAGTCTGTGCTTCTATGGAAGAAAGTCTTGATAAATGATTGAAGACATATTTTTTGTCTGAATTGTGATCTTTTTCTGGGTTGCGTCTACGGTGGGGTTAAGGATATTGACGCTGAAACTCGAATACCCGAATTAACTCCCCGTTTTAGTTTTGACAAAATATTTGAACTGCTTCTCGTGTTGTTACTAATTAGTTTGCGGTGAAATTCATTGCTATCATTGATCCGGTAGCGCCCTGAGAAATACTGCATTTTTGCATTAAATGAACCATGGAATGCATTGGTTGATTTTCACTTGCCAGAATTCAATAGTATGTACGTATTTCCAGGAATGGCCTGAAAGAGCTCTCGTACGTCTGAACAAGGGCGATCGGCACCTGGTTTTCCACCAAGGCGGCTTCCGAGAAGCTCTTGTTGTTGAAGTCGACTGCAGCTTGGCGAAATTCCGGTTTGAACAACGATCGGATGCAGAAGAGTGGATCTACCGAGGCTCGCCAAGGTTTTAAAGCAATTCCTGTCCGATGCTCCTCGCATGCTTGACCTTTCTCTTATCCACAGGCTGAAGATGATTTACGACAGTCTCATGCACGTGTCGAAGCGTGGTCGGGGATCCTTGCCTGCCCGTTTCACCATGCAAAATCCGCGAGGGTTTTCGGGCATTGTGCAATATACCAATGCTGTCACTGACGATAAAAGTTCGGTTCCTTCCGCTGTAAACAGTATTAGCAAAACTCAGATGGCGAGGAAGAGCACCATGGGAGGACGAACGCAACTGGTTGCGTCCCAGGGAACGCAAAATGCTACCGGCAAACCAACCACGAGCTTAGAAGCAAGTGGCTATATCAAGGTGAACAAATTTTACGCGAAAATTTGAAGTACAGTACAAGCACTGTGTATATGTGTGGAATTTTTTGTAAAATGATCAGAAATTCATTTGAGTGCGCATTAAGAAAAATGTGTAATTGAAGTGCAATATTTTTGCGAATGATTCTTCGAGGCATCGGATTGTGTTTGCCGAACAATCTGAGTTGCCTTTTTCTCGAATCTCAGCGTTAAAAAAGCAGTGATCAGTTGCGTTGCAAGCGTAAAAACATCTATAATCTCGGGCTTTTCTGTGAATTTGTTTAGAAGGAAAGGTCAAGGCGGTTGAAGGATTAAAGGCTACTTTTTTTTAATGATAATCTTGAATTAACGCTTATCCTAATGTCTGCTGTGCGAATTTGAATAAGTGGCGTTCCAAAATAATGAGAACCCCTAACCCTAGTCCAACGACTGCAGTCGTGTATGATCAAAGGCAGTGTTGCCAGCTCAGGAGCGGTATTGGGCCTCATTGTATGTTTTAAAGTCCTTGCACGACGTACGGGAAATTTTCTGTGTAATCCAATGATCTGGAAGAATGCGAGTAAACCATAATTTAAAAATATGGAACAGATATTTTCTCAGTAGTGGGCTAGTGTAATCAAAAACTTGAGGCAAGAGGGCATGTTAAAAATTGCAATTTTTTCTTTCATCAGTTAACGTCATTAGTCTCACCATTACAATGGTGAGAAATCCATGAAATATTACAGCCGATAAAATGGCGATTTGTAACTGAAGGAGTGTTCATAAGGAATGTTTTCAAGGTGAAAACTTGAACAATTTCAGGATACCTTCATTTTGAGTCGCATGAAATTTTTGCAGCTGAGGTTTGGAAAGAAATCTTTGATTGCTAAAATCATTTTTGATGTTAGGAATCGGCCGAGGGCCGTATGTGGTGGAGTCCTGAGAATACCTGTGGTATCATTTTATTAAAAGGGAGCTTATTCGAATTTATTCTGCGATTAGGTTGGATTGAGAAGTTAGATTGGATGCGTAAATGCGCAGAAATTCCACAAAAGGATGTTGTTTTATCTGACATGAAAGCCGAAAGCTTGCTTGTTGCCGCAATTCACCAAATTCCGGACGAACTCATTAAAGCCTGCATTTATTTGTTTATGGACAGGATGTCCAAGTACAGTCTCTACTTGAATCTCGAGCCTACTTGAACCACACTTGCGGAACTAGATGCTTCGTCGTACCCGCGGGGGTTGTGCATGCTGTGAAGAACGTGCGTCGTGAGCGGTTATCGCCGTTCCTGTATCCGCTTCGACTCGGATTTACTCGTCATGTTTTCATGGATGTTCCCTCAAATGCGTATATGCGGAATTCGACGAACACCAAGAATCTGCTGGAATATGCACGTGTGAATGCTAAAAAACATGACAAGTTGTTTGTGGTGAGTCGTTTTGATCACCTTCAATTCGTTTCGTATGTATTGCGTACTGTGCATATTTTCCGCGAATGTTGGATATTTTTTCTGAGTAAAACTCGGAAGATTCAGGGATTCGCTCGCACAATTCGGTTCATAGAATGATTCAGTGAAGTTCATGTATGCCGTTGATGTGAGGATTTTCAGTTGTGAAACGTAGCGCAAAATTTGAAACTCCTTCAAAAGATAAAAAGCCGAGCGAAATTTAACTGTTACCTGTCGAAACTGCTATTGTATCTTCAAATGTTTGGCTAGTGTTTACGGCTTAGGTCTTCAAATTGCTGAAAGGAAACCGTGAATTTGTTCTATCTATTATCAACTCCTTCTTTTTCGCCTTTGAGGTTAAGTTTGAGAAATGATCTAAAATCAATTCCGAAAACGAACTATTTCGAGTGTGAACGCGATAAAGCAGCTGGTGTCTCGTTTCTCTTAGTAAATACCTGTATTGCTTGAGAGGTTTATTATCCGTGTTAAAAAGTTTAATGGATCCCATGAAGGCATTTGGTCATGGGAATTTTTGTTTTTGCTTCAGAGGTACTGTACTTATTTTTTTAATCAGTCGGATTTTTGGCATATCATGCAAAATAAATTGTGGGCGCTTTGTGAAGAAGTGTCTTAAATTTGCCAGCAAATGTTTTCTGTTTCTAGGGGCTAGAAAAAAGTTTCTTGAAATTGATGACGCCTTAAATTTGCGTAAATGCGATAATTTGTTTTAATATGATTCCTAATATAATTCTACTCTCGGCGTCATTATACAGTTGAACCTCTTGAAGTTGAACTTGAAGAGACCACTAGAAGAATTCTAGTTATGGAGGTTTAGGGTTAGAGAAAAAAGTATTTTTTGGGGGGGGGGAAAGAAAGAAGAATTCTAGGGAATTGTGACTGATGATATTCTGCATTAAATTGTTTCTCCACTGTGTTTAAAGGATGTTGAGGCAAGTGTTCATTTACCCTATTTGTCTTTCACTTCCATTCAAAACACATCAAATTACTTCTGTATTGCTTTTCTCTTTCCTGCATCAATAAAATAATAGCCAAAGACCTCCGGAAAATTCGAGTTATGGAGACTTGAGGAGGGAAAGCCTTCGAGTTACAGAGGTTTTTAATGCATTTTTTCTATAGGACTGCAGAAAAAACTTAGGAAAATTCAAAGTAAGGAGGTTCAAGTTATCAAGGTTCAGCTATACAAGTATATATTTTCCTATGCAATATGCTAGTTTCTTCGTGAAGTCTCACCCTTATTTTTCTTAATTTAGGTGTGTTACACGGCGCCATGTGGAAGAAAACTCCCAAATATTCAGGCAGTGCATCGATATCTGAAGCTCACGGGCATTCCATTGCACATTGATGAGTTCTTGTTTCTGCCCCGTGCCACCGTCACCAGTGTTTTCGTGTGCTCGCCGACAGAATACTTGGTGTCTGACATTACGGAAGCACAGGAGAATGTTCCGATTTCGTGCACAAATGTTTTTGACGGCGACGAGAAGCCCACCGTGTTGTTGCAGCGTGATTATCGATCAGGACGCATATTTAATCCTAGTCGCGTTCCTGTGAATACGGATACGTCGTTCCTCGTGAGCTGTGACTGCGAAGATGATTGTTCAGATGCCAAGTTTTGCGCGTGTCAAATGCTTACTGTGCAACAAGCGACTGAACCTGGCCAAAAACCGACGAAAATGAATGTGCTTTACAAATATCGTCGCCTCGAGGAACGCGTTGATACCGGAATATACGAGTGCAATCCAGGGTACGTAAATTCCATTTCTCCATGCGCCATGTTTATTGGTGATGATTATATTGAACAAAGACCAGGAAATCTTTTTAAAGAACATTTTCAACGACGTATTTTCTACATAAGATAGTCACTAATTAATTTTTTTTACCCTTCTCGGCATTATAAAAGTTCTTCGTGGATGATTCATTCTTCCTTTTTTGCTTTGAACTTCATACGTTCCCTTAACGAAAATCCTTCGACGCGTACCAGTCCTTTTTATCCATCAATTGTGAGAAGTTTTGAAAATTGTATTTTCGGTAGGATCTCTTTATTCCTCGTTAAAACGATTCTCATGATTTCAAATTCCTCCTGTAAAACATTATCTATCAGGGTCCCTGCAGCATAACGCGAACGTTATTTCAGTTTCGAAACTCTTGATGGCAACTAACAGTTCGGTGTAACGAATGTTTTTATTGTGTCGAATTGGTTAAATTGGATCAAATGACATTTCCTTATTCCTCGAAGTCAAAGGTCGTAAGAGTCTGTGGCGCATGCAGGAATCCTGGGCTTCTTTGATGGGAAAGTTGAAAACCATCATCATATTCCTATGTGCTCAAGAGAATATTTTTCCCTTTTAGGTGCAAGTGCAAGAGGGACAAATGTTTCAATCGCGTGGCCCAAAACAAGATATCAGTTTGTCTGCAAATGTTCAAGACGGAATGTAAAAGCTGGGGAGTGCGGAGTCTCACGAGTCTCCCTTCTGGTTGCTTTGTTGCAACATATTCTGGAGAGATTTTGACTCCGGAAGATGGCATTGTCGATGGTAGCAAGTTCGGAGATGCTTACCTCGCTGAACTGGATTTTATCCAAGTAAGTATAGTAATGGGAAATGGTAGTACTGTACGAGTGTTCACCATGACTACCGAGCTGAGTTCGTTACGGTTCTTGAGGCTTTTGCAATTCTTCAGGCTAATTTGGTTCAGATACGTAGAGCTTTTCAAGCCAAATGAAGAGATATGCACGAGTACAATATATGTTACCGAATAATCGTGAAGTGCTTTACAGGAATAGGAGCATTTTTACTGGTGGATTCTCTCTACAACGACTTTCTCCATATGCAAAATATTTTTTGATCCCGTAGGTTTCTCTGCGACGAATTTTTTTCTGGTCCCTTCAATTTCATTGGACGGAGTCCACCCTCTCAATGCTAGCTGGTTTCGTGTTCCGGATGTGGAGTTTTATCTGTCGAGTGACTGATCCGTTTTCAAGCTTCTGAGAATTTTTGAAGTCTCGCGTTCGTTGTGTCATTTTTAAAATTAGCGTATTTTCAGGTTGAAGAGATTTGAACAGTACAGTGTATGATTACTTTTCTCGTCATTTTTCGATCAGTCTATGTCTCTATGATATGATTAACTTGATGGACCCGCGGCATCAGACCTAATCAGACGTTTTATTCAAATCAGTAACAATACCTTATGAAGTTTGAGGTGCGGATTTCGAGAAACATTTGATTTGCGTATGAATGACACTTGGTAGGATCCAGATGTGACGATTGCTTTTTAACGTGTTTGGATCCCATCAATTGTGTGCTTGCTTCTTCCTTTTTTTGTTATACAGTAGAACTACCTGATATCCGTTTTCCGTGGATGAATTTGTAATCATTTTCTGAATTATTGAATTGCCTATTCATATGAATATATCAATGTTCCAGTTGAACGAGCGGGACAAAGAAGGCTACGAATCTGAAGCTGTGACCTCGGGTGAGGAGGAAGGTGGCATTAGTTCTGAAGGCGATGAAGTCGAATCGAAGGAAGCCAAATTGAAGGGAACAAAGAAGAGGGTTGCAAAGAAACGGGGAAAGAGAAATAATTCCAAACAAGCAGTTACAGGAAGTGACGAGGACACGGACTACCTATCATCAGTGCAAGCTTCTGAAGCCAGTCGTGAAAGGAGTGAACGAAGTACTGCGATCGAACGTCGGCAACGGAGGAAAAAAGATGATGAGGAGAAGAAGCTGAGGAAGGAAGCAGAAGAACTTGTTTTCAAAGGGGGAAATACGAAAGATTCCGAACAGCCCTTACCGAAACGTAAGGCTTTAATTTTAATATGACATTGAACGTGTTTCTTGGAGTATCGGAGACAGTTGATGCCTGAATTATTACCCGTATGAGGTGACTCGCTCTACAACTAAATTCAAGTGGACAGAAAAATTCGTTGTAGAGAGAATTTTGTTAAAGAGAACCTTATGGGTTCACGAAACAATCTATTGTTGTGCACAAGATCGTTGTTCAGTATACATATACAGTACTGAAGAGAGTCCATCTGTAGGAAAAATTTCAGTGCGATATTTCCGAAATTCTTCGTTACTATCCGATTAGAGTCCACAACTGATGGAGGGGTGCGATGAATGTTTGGCTCAAGAAAAAGTTCGGAACATTTTTGATGAGGAATGAGCGTACAGGAAACGAGAGCAAAACATCCTTCTTGATGATGTCATACGTTTAAAGTAGAGAACACGTGAAATATAAACCGCATCACCTTCTGACCTATTTACCGCATTTTTGAAGAGTTATGGCAGAATTTTTTTCGATTATTTCCTTAGTAGATCAATAATCTTCACTGTTAAAACTCTTAAAAGCCAGTACTGTACATTTTGATAGACCGCATAGATGTGACATTACTTCAGCGTACACTCAAGTACTTGAGTACTTGAGTAACGTTTAGGCCGCAACCAAGTTTCTTAAGAACATGTTTACAGAAAAGTATGTGTGCAAGTATAATTTCTTGAATTTTGTGGCTTCTCGTGCCATAATCTATTATAAATTCGAATAGAGATCGTCGAAATATTTCGTCGTCACCTGCCGCAGAAAAAAAATAATTGTGGAGTTAGAGACATCTCGTATTAGTGTATTACAGTTGAAGATACCGTACTCTTCAACGATTATTATTCGTTGCATGATGTAAAACTTCTGCGTTATATTACAGCGCTTGAAAATGGTTACGTCCCTTTGTTGAGGATTTACCGCGAAAATAATCCCTACATCATGAATGCCAAAATGGGCGGAAACATCGGGAAGTTTTTCAACGTGAGTTCAGTTACCCATGTACGAAGTCTTCACTTTTATTGACTTCATGTTACTCTTGATTGCAGCACTCATGCGATCCGAATATGTTTGTACAAAACGTGTTCGTGGACACCCATGATCCACGGTTCACGTGGATAGCCATGTTCACATCCCGCGAGATTCAACCTGGGGAAGAACTTTCGTGGGACTACGGTTATCAAGTGGGCTCCATTCCTGGTCGCAAGGTGATCTGTCATTGTGGGGCTGAAAGTTGCCGTGGTCGTCTTCTCTGAGATTTTTTTTTTCTCGTCGCGTCGACGTATGCTTTCGAGAATATATTTCATTTGAAGGTTGTTGTTCAGCGATGTAGCTTGTTTGATGCGTTAGACGCACGCATCATGCTCTTCAAGTTTTGTTGGGAAGAAGTCGTGTTCCTCGATCAAGCAGAGCAATGTGATATTTTTGTAAGATTTGTATCGCATCGTTGTTTCTTTTATTCGTGAATTTTGTAACGTCTTGAAAAAATTGAAAATTTCTCCCTTTGTCTGGTTTTAATTCTTGAATATTATGTGATTTCATTCCTTTGGTAATTCAGACATTGCCGTGAACTTTTCCAGTGTTCGGAGGGTTCTTTTCTCAATCCGTGAAAAAACGCTTGCTCAGTATGGATTCGGAAGGCGAAACCATAGCGACGATTCCGTTCAAGAAGCGAACTACTGCAATCGTGCATGATAGAAACTTTGAAGAAATTTGCGACGAATATCCGGCTGTGAAAGGAAGGGTAAGGTGACCTTTAGCCATTCGGCATTTCATGTGGATTGAAGCATGTTTTAAATCCCAGTTTTTTTTTTCTCATGAGGTTGGGCTGTTATTTCAAGGAAGCGTTAACTTATAAATTACAGTACTTGTCTATTGTGAGTTTACTCAAGATTGGTCTCGGACAGGTATCAGGAAGTCAATTGTGAACTCGTTGGATTTGCGGCTTCAATTTTTTTATTAAGTTTGAACGAAACCTTTTTCATTCATTGCTCAGGGGTAATTTCATTGGAATTTTCGTTATGGTTTATTCGCTGATTTTTGATGAGAAATCCATGTTTCATGGTGGCATAAGTAAGTTGGAAAAAGAACAACATATTTGAAAATTGATTACTTTTTGATTTTTGAGACTATTTAAATGTACAGTATTCCCATTCAATGACAATAAAACCAAGTCCTGTGAACTTGAGGATTGTTGTTGAACTGTCGGAAAGGTTCTAGAATCTTTATGGTTGGTACTCTGGGGGATGAGTTCCGCAAAAATGCATTGAATGTTATAGAAATATGCTTGAACAATTTGCAAATAATGAGTAATAGAGGAAACAGCTGTTTTACAGCTCCAGCCATTCGCTGTTGATATTCCGAGTCTGCGCAAAGTTTGGATGCAAACTTTAATTACGTGGGTAAGCTGAATTTCAGCCGCCTCATGTGGGGCTCATGTTTATTCCTGATCGTTCACTAAGCGAACAAGTTGTTGAAAATTAATGTTTTAAAGATTCAATTGCCAGATTTCAGAAAATTTCAGTTTTAAATATGAAAACAGTGTCTGCTGAAGAACTGCTTTGAGAAACAATCGAAATTGGACTAATGCTGTTCAGTAGAATTTCTGCTGCAACCGGAACGCTTTTGGTGATCACCGTTCACATGGGGAGAAACAAATATTTTTTTGAAGTGGCGTATGCCTCAAGTATATCGTGCACCACTCTTCTAAGTCGCGAAACTTGTACAATCATTTGCTGAATCCTTCAGAATATCCAAGGCTGTGCAAAACTTGAACACTTTTAATGTGGTACAGTACTCTCATTCGTTCTATCGATGAATTCAGTGAAGGCTGACGATGATCTGAAATGCATTAAATTGATCTGTGTTCGATCTATTTTCTTCAATCTGACTCGAATTATGAGTACATGGGAGGTTAATTCGTTCGTATTATCTGCGTTTGATCTTTTTTGGGGGAAATATGAATACTGTATTTGCCTGCTGTTTTTGCATATACAATACTGTAACTCTGGTTTTTAGATTCTGTGCAGTATTATTATTTTTTGTTTACCAGCGAACGTAGCGCTTGACTGACTCCTTTATTTCTCCATGGAATATTCTACTGTATTTGAAACACAATTTTTTGATTGAGTGCGGATCAGTGTGATGAATTTTTTATTCTGTAGGCTTCGTTGGTGTATGGATTGTTGGACGCCTACGGAATGTTGAACAAGTTCGATTTGCGACTTTCTTGCACCCCGGCCACTCGTGAGGAACTGCGAAGATTCCATTCTGAAGAATTGATTGATGCCCTGCTTTCGTCCGCCTCTCTCTGTGATAACGAGGATCAAGCGATAAAGGATTCCATCGATCTCGAAGATCTCGGTTTGGGCTATGACTGCGCCGTATATTCCGGATTGGGAACGCTTGTGAAGGTGTTCGCTCGAAATTTTCCGAAAATACAGTATTGCGAAAAATATCCTTCTGGCCATTTCGCGGAATGCTGGGTTTTCAGTTTTACTGAACAGCTGGGACTCTTTCGAAGAGACAAATAGTTTTGCAGCATTACTGCGATTTCTAGAGATGACTGCAACTCATTTGTGTAGTTATACCTCTGACTCCTTGATACTGACTTAGAAATTTGATGCTAGAACGAATTGCAATTCTTCAGTCTTTTTTTTTTTTGGAATCTGAAGGATTGCTGATATCCATACACTGCTCGAAATTCAGATTTCTTCAGGATCTGGAATTTCATGGAAAACATTCAGCACATTCCGAGCAATGAACGTAATCTCGACGATTCTACGAGTTTTTGGCGCTGTTTTGATGTGTCTGATGGTACCGTGTGCCGTACGTTACTAAAAAAAAACATAGTTTTTTCTGTAGTTTATTGTGATATGTGAATAAGATCTGCATCGCACAGTAAAGAAAATACCGTACAGTTCATCACCTAAAAGTGTTCACGGTGTATTTCAAATGATGAACTGAAGACATTTTCTGCAGAATTCAAGCAGTAATTGTGACTACTCCTGTCCTGAATGTTAACTCTAATTCAAATGTCCCAGTTTTTGTCCCTTAATTTTAGTTGAAGTGATTTTACCCTGGGATTCTGCTTGGCCTCATTCCATGAATAAGGCTTTTGTAAAAGAAAAGATGGGAAAAATGTTTATGTCTTCCCATGCATTTTCAAGTGAAATTCAAGCCCCAAAATACGTACCATTTGACGTGTAGACTCTTGAAACTGAAAAATTAGCTGCTTCAAAATATGCATCATATCTCAAGATTTGAGCGCTTGTCCAAAATTTGCAGAAAAAAATAAATCTTTAAATCGTGAGTACTCATGAGCAAGTTGAGCTTTATTGCATTGGAAAAATGTATCCGTCGTGCACAGATATTCCGAGATGAGTACTTACTCTGAGAAGTACCTTATTTGCTCGAGTACCACGCGCCCCTGCTCAAGGCACGCACTCCAATTTTTACGTTAGAAATTCGCCCGAAAACCTCTCCCCGTTTAAGGCCCGCGCCCCAGTTTTCGTGGTTGCCAAAAATCATAAATTTTGCTATCTTGTTTTTTGTGTTGTTCCATTTTTCCCCCCATTGATATTATATCTTTTTTGTTTTTCAATTACTATCTACAGGAGCAGTTAAAATGTGCTTACAATATATGGCAGCTTCCAGGATTATATGAATATGTTCCCTTTCCTTTAATTCTTGTTGCATCTCCAACTGAGGTATTCCTTAAATTTTTACTTATTTCACCATTTTTTTCCATGGACAATGGGACTTCGCGCTACCTATTTCCTTTTTTTTTTTTTTTTCTTTGGTAACTTTTATTCGTGAGGGGCACTGGTTTTGGGGATTTTTTCCTTAAAAAAATGTGTCCCCGAGTACCTCGCGCACCCTGTTTTTCCGCCTCAATTTCTGGGAAAAAGGTGTGCGTAGTACTTGGGGCAAACACGCGTAATTACGTCCTCACCACTGAATGTTTTCGTATCACCAGAATATGATCGTCTTCCTTCGTTGTTCACGTATTATTGCCTCTTGTTCTGCATCAGGTAGTAGCCGGTGGAACCCTCACTGCGGCTCGCGCTCTCTGCTCAGGAAAAGCAGATGTGGCAGTGAATTGGTCAGGTGGATGGCACCACGCTCACCGTGGCGCTGCTGCCGGATTCTGCTACGTGAACGACATAGTCCTCGGCATGCTGGAACTGCGAACGCGATTCCCTCGCCTGTTGTACATCGACCTCGACGTTCACCACGGTGACGGCGTCGAAGAGGCGTTCTCAACCACCAATGCAGTCCTCACGCTGTCCCTGCATCTCTACGAACCTGGTTTCTTTCCTGGAACCGGAGGTGCAAGCCTGAAGACTAGTAGCGATTGTGGCTTTCGGCGGAAAGCCTGCGTCAATGTGCCACTAAAGCAAGGCATTCGAGACGCCTGTTTCGCGTCGATGTTTGAGCGTGTTATTGGGCGAGTGCGAGAAGTGTTTCAACCAGTGGATGCAGTGGTGTGTCAGTGTGGATGTGACGGATTGGCTGGTGACCCTCTTGGCGGCGGATATAATCTCACTCCGAATGGACTCGCTGCTTGTCTTCGGACAGTGCTTTCGTGGCATTTGCCGACGTTGATTTTGGGTGGCGGTGGATATCATAATGCGAATGCGGCGCGTTGCTGGACGCGGCTCACAGCGACTATTCTATCAACTTGCACGGGTTGTGAAGAACAGCTAGATCCGGATATCCCTGAGCATGATGGGTTTGAAGAGTTCGGACCGAGTTTTGAATTGGACGTGGAACCTGGTTTAAGGCCAGATTGCAACACGGACGAATATTTGGAGGAAGTATTTCTTCAGGTTCAAGGTGAGCATCAGAACATGGAACGAGATTTCTGAATTTGCTGTTTTAGTTCGTGGCTGTCCATCTTGATGTGATCGTCTACTATGCTCGACAAGTTTAAAATACGCTGCCCCACATCTTTCGTTGATGATATGGATAACCTGTCGATTATATCATATCAGTTTTTTGTTACGGGAATAACGCTTTTTCGATTATTTTATCACAGCAGGATCTGATGTGTATTGTTTGCAGTTTACGTCAGATTAGCTCATTATCAGGTTGAATTATGTATTCGGAGGTGGAGATAAAATTAACCCAACACCTGACAACCTAACTCAATACTTTGCCAACCTAACTTTACATTGTTATCCGAAGTTGTCAAGGTTGTTCAGAATGTTCCTGTTGTGTCAAACGTCTTTTCCACAAAAGATTCAATATGCCTTGATATTCGCTTCGGTAGGATTCGTCGTTGAGGAAGTCGTCCCTGGTAGAATTCGTCCTAGAGACTGGGTAGAAATGGGCCGCGGCGGGAGGCGGGGCTACTCGCGGGGGTGGCGGGATGGGATACCCTACATCCATATGCTGGGCAGTCTTCCTGCAGACCAGGAGGAGTGCGCATATGCCGTGTACGAATTTGAAATCAGACAATGACTTCAACACCTGTATTTTTTTTAATCTGACGATAGATGAAATCATATTTTTTCTATTTGGGTTACATTTTGTAAAACCTATTCCAGATAACCAAAATCTGCCGAGAAATTTATCTTATGCTTACTTTAAACAAGGAATTTGGCAAACATCCACAATCCAGGAAATTTCATGGGGTTTTCGAAGTACAGTAGCTGATAGCAAATTTTGAAATATTGCTGATTAAATTGGGTCTTGCCCACTGTCTCTGAGTGGCGCCAAGGAAGATTGAAAAGAAATGTATTTACGGTAAGTCCTAACCCAATAAGAAGTCCAATACACACAGATCCTATGAGGATTGATGCAACCTGGGAAATGTAATAATTAAAATGAATCTTGACGCAGACCATGATGTTTCAAAAAATTCTGTATAATAAAATATTACATTTCAATCCCAAGAGTGAGGTGAAAGGATATTCAAATTGCTCTAACAAGAAAGCAGGTTTTTTCAAGTTTCTACATCAAACTGAAATAAATTTTCAGCTACTTGTTTGCTGATATGCAAGAAAATATTGTTTGAAATCAGACAATGCAAAAACAAAGTGCACTTAATGTAGGAAGGAAAATCAGTGAACTGCTATGATGACCCATGCCTAAATGGAAATGGAAAAAACTTTTTTCTAATTCCATGCCTTTTCAGAATATTAGTACAGTAGTTTGCACTCATGCATGTTGGTTTGGGCACTGTGCAAGGGATAGAAAAAGAAGGGTCAGTCAAGTCTGAGTTTTTTTTAAGGAAGATTTGCTGCTGAAAGATATGTGATGGGCATTTGGCCATTACTAAATGATACAACACAGGGGGGAAATAAATGAAATATGAAATTTATTCCTGTCATACTGAGTTGAAAAAAAAACTGTAGCATCAGGAATACAAATTTCTATACGCTGTCTTCACCAAAAGAAATCCGCATGGTAATGTTCTCCAAAAAGTTGAGGCAAGATTGTCTTCCATGTGGGCCTGGGTTTATGTAGTGTGTGACTAACCTCTTCACCACTTCTTGAAACTTCTTATAAAATATCTTCTTCTCTGTCAAGATCTCTCCTCCATGTATTCTGACAAGACTTTGTTCCTGATTACTTTCTTCTTTTTTGAGACTCAGGATGAGCTTATTAATCATAGGGTGGAAAAAATAACATGACTGTGAAAACTGTGAATGCCAAGCTTCCAATCCATTGTTGGTTCTGGGTAGGTCTGCAAGGGTTTCTTCATGCATATTCCAGCAGAAAAAAGGAAACTTTGGCTCTTGTCGTTATCCCCCAGACTGCAATCTCCCAATGTAGTTGTCTTCAAAGTAGTCATAAATGCTGTTGGCTTCTGTTGGGTAATCCCAAGATGTTTTCAATTCAATAAACCCTGCAGAAACTTCATTTGCTAGCAAGAAAGATAAAGCAACAAGCAACCTCACATAAAGAGGGAATGTTGGTTCATCATCACTTTTGTATCTCTCACCCAGACCTAGTGATGACACTTTGCCCCAAACACTCTGGACCAAATGAAAGAAACATCCTTCAATTTGGACATGTGTGAAGACCATGCACAGAGCATTCCATGCAGCTAGTTCAAAGTCCATCATCACTTTTTGAGGTTGCAGTCTTGTTTCCAACTGTTGGATAGCTGTCCACATGCAGTGATATGTGATTTCACATTTCTTTGGGAGGAGCACGTATAAAGCTGGTACTTTTTGGTTCTTCATCAAAAAATGAATGGTGTAAAGCTGATGAAACAGTGCAGGAGATACACTGATAGTACCATCAAACAACCAGAAAGTGGAGTCATGTAGCAAAAATACCTCCTTCCCAAAAGTCTTCTTCAACTCCTCAGGAATTTCTATTTCCCACGCATTGCTTGCAAGACTGCTGGGATCACCTTCATACAAATATAAAAAGATGAAAAGCTGAATATGATAAATCTTTAATAAATGTGAAACACACCTAATGCTTTGTTGCGACTGTAATTTAGCATATGCCTGAGGTTTTCTTTTGATCCTGAGTGCATGACCATCTTCTTGCATTTCCCACGAAGGGCCTCATCAATCACACATCTAGTTGGCAGGTTGTGCCATGACCATCTTCTTCATATTCTGAACAGCAAGTTTTGTTTCACGCTTCTGAGGCCTTGTAGGATGAGTGTGTGTCTTCTGGATATCAACATCATCCTTTTCAGGTGCAGTCTTGTAGCTTCCCTGTGTTGACACAACTCATTGCTCTTGAACTTGCTGCACTCATAACTTGCCGCACCCCTTATGGCTTGCTGCTGTCATAACTTGCTGCACAACTGACTTGCCGCTGTCATTTCTTGCCGCACGGACAGGGCCGGTGCAGGCATGGGTGGCTCCTTTGTGCAAGAAGCAAATTTAGCACCCTGTCATCTTATATTATTTGAGTGTACCCTGACTAGCACACAATACTTGACTTGGTGTACATTCCACGTGACTCGTTTATTCCGTTATATTCTATTAAGAAGCAGAATGTATTGCGGTCACGCGCATCCGGTTTACTTTTCCTCGTGCTGGTTCATGACCGGTCATTTCCCCCTGCATCATTGAATTAATAAAAGGATGCCCGAGCATACCTTCGGTATTCATTGTCTGTGGAGATCTTGTGGAAGTTGCTGCTGGACGAAATATACTCTAAACGCTTTTTGGTAACCGAGAAGTCTTTTACTTTGAAACCCGGTATACAGAGTTTAAAGCTTCTCAATAAGATTATCCTAGTCGGATATTGAACTGAGTTTGGGTTTGATTGCGAAGAGACGTCAACGCGATTGACTATAGATTTAAGATTAGTTCTGACAACATAGGATAACAAATTGGCGCAGCCGAATTCTCTTTTTACCCTGGGTGAGTGCTCTGCTAAGTAAAAAAGTGCAAAAAGAAAAGTAATTTCTGATAGAAAAAGCACAACCAAGTGATCTTAGTTGACATTCCAGACGACCGCCGACACTCGCAAAAAGTGTTGTAGAATACGGCGTACTGTTACTGAAGTGAAAAGTGCCAAAAACGTGCGCGTGTTTCCTTTAGAATGGCTACTGTAGTTAACGTTTCAAAACTCAACATGTCTCGCGTGATGGACGTAAATGACATTGTCGACCAAAAGTTACTCGATTTGACCCCACGCGAACAGGCTGAAGTAGCTAGGCGCCGACTAAGAGAGTGTGAGGAAGAAGTGGCGAAAATCAATGCAGAATTAGCTAAAACTGACCCGGCCCCCACACCCGAAGTGAGAACAGCGTTGCGAAGAACATTGGACGCCCTTCAGGCGCCAGATGGTCCTTTGGCAACGTCCAGGAGTATATTGGAAAGTCTTGAACCTAATCTTGTGGAGATCGATCTCCATGAGAAAGCGATCAATGACACCCAATTACTTCTTTTTTCTAAGAAAACGCGTGTCGTGAGCACAACTAACCAACAGGCCTCAATGGCAATGAATCAAATTCCGTCGTTTGATGGAACCGGTCCTCTCACTTGGCAAGAGTGGTGGGCAACGTTTCAAACGGCCCTATACGATGGCGTCCATTCAGATGAAAGTATTCGTTCCAACTTACTTAGTAAATTGAAAGGGGAAGCGCAAATATACGTAACATCAATCCAAGGGCTAACTTCCGCCCATTATAGAGTCATAGTGAAAGCACTGCAAGATGCTTATGGCCGAAAAGTCATCTCAAAACTAATGCGAGATTTGAAGAATATGTGCCAGAATCCCAACGAGCAAGTTCAAACCTTTGGAGCTTGCGTTAGACGAGCCGGAAACTTCTTGTTAGGAGATGCCCCTAGTCAATTAAAAGTAATTCGACGTGAGAACCAACCCGCAGCTCTGCTTCCAAATCCTTTCTTTGTCAAGGAAAGTTGGGAATATAACAGGAAAAAATCATTTTTAGAAGGATTCTTGGTCACTACGTTTATGGAAGGTCTTATACCTGAATTGCAGAATGCCATTCGAATCACTTTTGACGATTTTGAGGCGGCGATCCAACATGCGATTTCTGTAGAAGATAGGGAGCGAGACATTCAGGCATCGCGACAAGGCTCCTCCCTTCACCAAATTTCTTACCAACGCCCAAAGACCCCTCCAGTGTATAGTGGACAAGGTAACTCCGACATTCGCGCCGCCACTTTGTGCTATAATTGTGGGCAAAAAGGCCACTTTCGTAGTGAGTGTTGCGCGTTGTCTAAAGAAACCACCAAACAAGTGCCTAGAAAGTTCGTCTATATCGCGCCCAAAAAAGATGGTTGCGCACCGCGATTATCCCAAGGGAATGCAAGAGGTCACTCGTCTATGCGCGGAAATACGCGTGGTCGTGGTCGTGGTCGTGGCAGGAAAGTTGTGAATTTTGTGGAAGAAGTAACCGTGGAAGAAGAATACAAAGGAGACAAGAATTACGACGAGCTCGAGGATGAACTCCTGCCCGAAGGATATCTTGACAAAACATACTCGGGAAACAAGTATTAACCGGCACTTCGACTTCTTCCTCGGTGAAGCTGCCGGTCGTCATCATCGCCACCAACGTCACGCTTTTCCCAGCTAAGTTTCTTATTGATTCTGGATCCGAAATTTCTCTTCTCTCTCCATCTGTATTAAAACCTGAAATAACTCCTATGTCCTCTGCTATTACTATCGCTACGTTAGAAGGAAGACAAATGCCTGTAGCAGGCACATTGAATGTGAAGTTGTATAGTAATTCTACCTATTTGGCAACTGTCCGTTTTGTTTTGTTTGATATTCGTGGGCAGGAATTTGAAGGCATTATTGGGTCAGATTTACTAAAACAACTAAAAGCCACTATCTTCTTCCCGGAAAGATGTCTGCAACTAAAAACAGAGAGGTTAAGGTTTTTTACCGAGACATCTCACAGAAGGAAAATAAGTAGCTCATTGACTAACAGTCCATCAGTGCCCAAACCCCCTTTCAGGCTTTATCTCACTTCTGCAACAGTCATCCCAAAACGATCCCAGAAGTTAGTGTTT